AATCTTTCCACCTACATGTTTTTGCTTACAGTCGATAAATGATGTGAACAGATCTTACACGGTGAAGAGTTACCTAAACCGTGGTGGATATATTTTAAGCTGTGATGATTAAGAATGCAGTGGTATCTAAAGGATAGTCTGAGCTTAGACATCAGAGAGTGAGATAAGTAGTTTACTTACTATAAGGCCTACCACTAATAATTAGTGAAACTCCTTTTTATGCGTGCTGGATCACGGCAACCTTTACCAGCTAAGGCTTAGAAAAGGGAATGTCCCTGAATTACATCCCCAGTAGACAGATGACTGTGGTTTTGTTTGTGTGTGCACAGACTTCCTGAAGTCCACTGTCAAGTTTGATGCTTATGCAAACAAATGTTGAAAGATAAGGCAGGATTCACCAATGTGCGGAAAAAAGAAGGCCGTCATTATGAGAGGATGCACAAAACTGTAATTATCGACTTATTCAGCTGTTATTAGCAGGCTAGTAAAGCATGGCATGAGTAGGTACTGTCATGTTTAGAAAATATCACCTGAAATGTGGCAGGAAAAGGAAGACAAACATGTTATTGGCAACCAGTTTTCAGGTAACACAACCATTGAGCCAGATAATTGGAAATAGAGTTGTCACTTCTTTCCCATCCTCAGGGTGTGAATCCCCACAGAATTGCCATGTTCCAGGAAAAACATTATCCTCAGCTCAGGATTTTGAATACTGAATGTTTCTATTGATTAGTGACCCAATCAAGGACAGTTCTTGATTAGCATTTATTCAATCATAACAACAAATTCTTAGTTGCATCTTTTAATATGTGATCATTAGTGCATTAAATTGTGTATGACTGCAAGAAAAAAAATTTTGTTAAGTTTTTTCCATATGTATCGACTTGTCTGTAGAGTGCCAGGCAGTAGTGAAAAAGGCCCTTTGAATATTGAGTTGACTTGTTTAAATTTGCAAAACTTCAAAGTTGCTTTTATTGCCTTTCAAAAGTCCTCACATCTGAGAAGCTGGAACATGTTTGACAAAAGATTGATTGTCAAAGTAATTGCAATTTTCTATCATTGAACTAGATTGTAGGTACCACATGCGACTAAACGTGGAGCACCTGACGTTACCGGCTCATGTAAACATCATGATTTCAAGATTGTCATAAAGTAGAATGCATTGTTCTTCCCTCAGTCAGCTCCCCCATACGGATGTGAAACAGGTGAAAATGAAGGTTTCATGATACAGTCGTTTCCAGATGCTTTTACAGCTCTCTCTCTCATCAACAGTATTTGAGAAGTGAGAAGATGAATACATGTTTGTAAAGTTTAGTCTGCAGTCATTTTTGTGGAGGATTTCCTCAGGAATTTCAGCAGGATTAGCAGTAAGCAATCAATGTTGGCATCATTTCATTGTTACATAACAAGTTGCAGTGACTCTCATTCACTCCTGAAATTATGTTACAATATATAAAAAAGCACACCTCTACATTTAAAGTCTTTCATTGACCTTCTTGTAGTTGATAACACGTTTGTATAAAGTGGCTGACATTTCCACATCTGCACCATTTGTCACATAGGCCTTGTACTTATTTACAAGCATTGACAGATGAGAGCAAAAAGATTGTCACACTGTTCCAAAACAAGCCAGTGTTAGCTGGTCTACGAAAGTTGAGACAATAGGTTCAATAAACTTGGTGAAGGACGGACGATTCTTTCTCTGAAACATGAAGAAATCAAGGACAGTGTGAAAAGCGGGCTTTATAGGCTTTGATAAAGTTGTATGATTGAAAACTTTTCTTCACACAAAGAGTCTGATGTGCTGCTTGAGTACGAGGGAGAAAGGTTTCCCTCTGCAATTTGATTTCCCTTCAAAACGCTTCACCTCCTTTGTCTTTGTAACTTTTGTAAGTTTGAAAAAAGAATGTGTTTAAATCAACGTGAAGGTCCTGTTATTATGTCTGCATCTTCAAAGCTAAGCACTTGAAGATAAGGAGGTGGAGGCAGATGTCCGCTATGCGGCTTGGCAGGTTGCTGTTGTTACCGATTGTGTATTTACAATAATAATGAATGTTGACCAGGTTTTGTCAAAGTCTAAAAAGTTGGCTCTGCACTTTTTTTTCCAAGAGTACATCTTGATTTAGAGTCTTATTTTTTCTCAAGCGTGCTTGATAATTGTGAATAGGTGGCTTGTTAATTTTATCATTCTGGCCAGTATAATGTCAGTCTGCCGGTGTAGCTCCAGTACCTGGAATCTGAATGTGTCCAAGTGTTTAAACAGGTCTAGTTGTTGTTTTTAATTTTAAAAGTAATTACAGTGAAGCGATGACAAAATAAGGTTGATGTTTGGTCTTGGTGTAGTTTGGTTTTTCGCCCACTCACTCACTCCATTGTTCTCTGTGTTGTTTTCTCTGTTTATAAACACGCCTCTGTACCTGTTAACTCTTCTTCCAGTTTGCCTACTGTTCCAGAGACAAGGTGTAATTTAGTCTTGGAAAAAGCAATATGATAGAACTCCAATGAGGTATCACGTAGACACTGAGAGAGAAGAGATCTCATGTAAACCACTTTTTAGAAGATTTTGACCTGCTGGTTTTTGAAAATGTTGTGACCAAAAGCTACAGCACAGCAAAGGCCTGCTATAGATTTGGTCCAAACAGGAGGAATACTTCACCAGTTGTTGTGTTTAGGGCTGGCAACAACCAGATCCGATCAGATGCTTTTGACAGCATTTTTTCATGTGTTCTGTTGTAAACATAACAGGGAGACAGACTCTAATGACTTTGTGCGCTACTCAGCAGCGCTTCTGATGTGCAGAGTCACCATCAGGAATATCACTCACAACGCTCATCTCTTCCAGAAGCTCTTTCTCCAGAGAGTGTGACTTATCTACTGTTGCACCGGTCAAATGTGTGTTTGCCGAACAGATGGAAACTGGAAGTGGTTTGTGAAGGATCAGAACCACCCGGTGACTTGCATCCAGTTAGTCATTTACAAGCAGATAATAACGACAAAACTGAAGACTCTCTCAAACATGTTTGGTGTCACATCGGTCAGTATATGAACTGAAAGCTAAAAAATAATGTTCTTACACTGTGGCACTCTTCTCTTTCACGTAAATGTTCCGATGCAGTTGATGGTAGTTTTTTCTGGGACAACCCTGCTACAGTGCATGGCTAGATGAAAACAACTGCCTGCTATTTACTGCTGCTTTTTAGTTGTTTTGTCTTCTTTTTCACACTGATATTAAAATCCTGGCTTCCAGACAAGGTTCTGACAAGGTTAATGCATTTGTGAGTGTGGTGTTGGTTGACATATGAAATAAATTTATTGGATTTAAATTTGTGTTTTTGCATAATAAAATATGAAGTAACAGATTATAACTGGCCCTCTTAGCTGTATAAATCACAGCAGTCTTTTAGCTGTGACTTGAATAGTTGCTGCTTCATGAGCGTTTGTTGCACTTTTTGATTCAGGTGTTTCCTAAATGCCGCTGACTCCTATTATCTCATAGTGAATTTAACGGTTGCATCAAGGGATGTTAATGCCTACTTGTTTAATTATTAATTGCCATTAAGTTAACAAATTAAAAATAAATCAAGGAGATGAGGGACATGCACTTTAACTGTCAATTTGACTTGTAATACCTGTTTGTGCCACCAGATGGAGTCTCTTAGTGTTTAATGAGGTGAAGTTACAGGTGTGTTGGCTGACTGCTGTCTAGCTGCTAACTATGGCAGTTGTGCTAATGAGCTATTCACCATCAAGTTGTAAGAAGGCGTCTGGTGGCCGTCAGTCAGCTAGCTAGCTGAAGCTCATGCTAAGCTCATGCTAACACTAAACTAGGTTTTCAAATGATAACAAAGGCCGGGCGCCGATTCTCTGTGCGGGAAGAAATTAAATGTGGTAACTTGGTGATTAGCATATCTGTTTTTCAAATTCCTATAGTATAAAGGGATTTTGCAGTGAACACTAAGTGTCAGTGGGTAAAAATGGCTTTAGCAGTATAGGAAAACCAGTCCACTGTATTTAACCCATTTCAGTGATAAATCAATTATTGTTTGTAATTGTGACAGACTGTTGGTTAATGAAATTGTTTAAAATTTGCATCAGTAGTTACATGTATGAAAGAAATTGACTGAAAAAGAAAGACTTTAGACACTGATGTGGGTTCTCAGTTTATTTGTTGACCAAGGTATTGTGATAATGAGATGTGGAGACACGGAAGTTGACAGAACGATGTGTAGATTTTACTGCTGTCTTCAGTCTGTCTCTGCCTGCTGGGTAGCCAAGTAGCCAACTGTTGGCAGCTACGAACCAGATGTCACATCAACAACCACAGACATCAGGGGCAGATGAATCTGCATGCATGCTTTTCTTGTCTGTGTGTGATAAAAGTGATTATTATATTATTAAGCGGACGCCCGTGTTCTTTTCAAGCATGAGCGCTGAAGCAAATACACAGCTATGACTGAGTGCTAGTTGAATATGCTCTGTCTTGACAGGTCTACATATGGTGTAGGTCTTTCATTATTCTTTAACAGGCTTGTATGCAAATTCCTAACAATATGATGTTTTAATTGTGAATTGACCCTAAACTTAAAAAAAAGACGATCATATTGGCTAGCAATATCACACTGTCCTGTGATAATATAAAAGACAGTTTTGGTATTGATAAGAGGGAAATCACCTCACATGTTAGGGTTCAGCTATCTTTTGATATTCCTTATTTCCATTTCTTGTAAATAGTTCAGTGTAAACAAAGAATGATGACAGATTTGACTATTTCTTTTACAGAAGACAACTGAACATGTCCTTCATCTGCAGCATTATAGAGCTCATTTCCACTTCATCCGACAGAGTGTTTTCTTGTGTGTGGATCACATGTGATGATGGTGTATAAGCTCCATGAAAAATTAACTCCCAGTCGTACAGCACATATTGTACAAGGTCATATGAAAAAACAACATTGCATACTAACTCTGCTGTGTATCTTTTTTCTCTGTTCTCTTTTCCAGTCAGAGGCCAAAGGGCTTCTCCCTGCACCTGGGATGGTGCCATGTGACAGAGCGGCTGTGGAGCCATAACCCCACTACCACCGCTCCATCATCTCGACGTTAAGCTGCTTGCCCACCACTGATCTCACTCCCAGTCTCCCCTCCTTCCCTTTAGCTTTGCTCAGAGCCCTGGACAAGGCCACCACAGCCACCACATGACTCACCCACTGGAGCCCTAGATCAAGTAAGTACAGTATGGCCGGTCAGCCTTGTGTACTCTTTGTTGAGTGCTGCAATATGTCTCATTGTGAGCCAAAGCTGAATACTGGGTTGCAGCCCAAAGCAGATTGTGTAGTTGGTCTTGTAGAACTCGGGTGTGTTATTTAATGCTGATTCTTAGTGAACATTCACAGGATACTTTCCATGTTTGTTTATTTACTGAAATGCATGTTTGTTTATTTATTGTGTGGCAAAGCTTCTAACTAAGGCTTGAGGCCATGTTTGTAGGATGGCAGGAATAGAGGTGAACAGAGGTCAGTATTTAATATTCAGAGAAGTAAGGTAAGACACAGGAGCGGTTACTTGGCTGTATCGAGTTGAAAATGTGGAATTAATATGCACACATGCACCATGTGCCTGCATGGATTCCATGCTTGTTTTGTAATCTTGCTCGCATGAGCTATGACTGGGCCAGTTATTTCAGCATTGATCATTATGTCTGTAAATAATGGGGGAAGCAGTTTAAGGCTTGAGTTTTAACTGAAGACATCATTGTCATATTGCCTGTTTTGTGAGACAAAAAGGACAAAACATACACATACACACAAAAAAATATATTTATAATGAGGAAAAAAGAGAGCAGGCCAATAAATATAAATGTTTTAGAGGGTTGAACCAGTCTTGCATGCTGGAGTGTGATGATAAATTGCAGGATTACCATTGATTTAGGGCCTAATTACTTACAGGACTATTATCTAGCCCCACACTGACAAATAGAACATCCACTGCTATGCATTGCTTTATTTCACAGAGATTCCATCTAATTTATGGAAAGTCGTGTTGGGGCATTTAAAAACCTCTTCATTCTTTTGATATTTTGTTACATTATAGACCTAATTTGAAAATATTTCTTTTTCTTGTGCACAATAAAAATAGCATTATATTTAAAACAGAGCAGAAGCTAGTCGACACTTGTGTACGGTGCCACAAAAAGTCAAAAGTGCTGACATACTGGAATTGTCACCGTTTAATTCTGCTTATTTTAAAGGCATAATTCAAGTGTATGTCTTTTGTGATTTGTATTTTGTGGCTGGAGGTTATTTTGTTTCTTTGTGTTTTACAGAGCAAGTTGAGGTTATATCAAGATCTTAGAGTGAAAAGGATGATACAATGTAGGATTGTCACAATACAAAAACTATGAAAATAAGGTTCTGAGTGAAAATAACTGCATGTGAGAAAACTTTGCAAAGAGCATGCATAATTGGTTGAATTTGAAAGACTCCAGTCTTCACTGTCTCCACACAGACTTAATGGCCTGTCAATTTAATTTTAGGGAGGACCAGTGAGTTAAGCCTAAATTAATCGTTTAGAGGGACTAGAAAGATAAGGCCTCTTTCTCACTGGCTATTTCCCATTATTCCCCTGTGCTGTGTGCTCTGACACTTCAGGCCCCAGATCGGCTGCATGGCTCTGAACATCCCAGCATGTCTGAGTAGGCCTCCCATCGCGTTTCTCGAGTTGAAATGAGGACACGCACACACACACACACACACACACACACACACACACACACACACTCCAAATTACACAGAGCCCAACCGAGCTCAATAAATGATGAATATTCATGTGGAATTATCTGTCTGGCAGGGAACGTGTTTGAGATTGGAAGTGCTGCGTGAAAAAATTAGGTGAGCAATGACACCCACAGGCACTATGAAAGGCAGATATGTGGACCTGTGTAAAGGAGTGATTCATATACTGACGCTAATTTGTTTTTCATTTTACTGATGTATTTATATTTAGTGATGTATACTAACATTATTTTAAGGATGCAGAATGGAAGGAGAAGATAAAGTAGGGGACAGTTCTACTTGTATGGACTAAAATATATATTTTTACATTTTGATTTTGAACTACCCTGTACCTCCCATGATTACACAGATGAGAGAAGTGACTATGAGTAGCAGTCCGCTGGCCGTAAGTCACCACTGCAGACTGCTTTACTCGTTGTATTCTATACACTGAGGACTTTGGCAAACTGTTGTAGTGTCTGTGGAGCTGTGTGCAGTCCAAGGTTATTTCTTACTCTTGGTAAACATCCTGGATCTGGGTGTACACAGATGGTGGGAAACAATGGACTGGAACTTAACAGTGTATTCATTTGAGAAGCAAAGACTTACCGGACCACACCAGCGTTTTTGCATGCTTCATCTAAATTACTACGTGTCACTTCACACCATTTTTTGTTCCATAGCTTAAATCATATATATGTCACAATATGAAACTAGTTTTCAGAGGCTTTAAGCCCCAGTAAAGGTCAGTCCTTTGACAGAAAGTTTATATTGATAATCAGAATTTTTAAGGCCAAAGAAATGGGAACTTGTTTTCAAAAACACAATCATCAACATTAACATTTCATTTGCAGTTTACTATGATAGTAAATCTTTCATTATTGGGTGGTTTGTTGGACAAGGACTGACAATGGAAAACGTGAGCCTGTGTTTGACATTTAAAGCCTAACTGACAAATCAATTACCGAAGAAGATAATTAGCAGATTCTGTTTTATTGCATTGTTGTTTGCAGGCTTTTAAATCAGTCAACTCTGACTGCATAAATCCACAACAGGAACAGACAGCTAAGCCCCATTTTAATCATACACATTCGAAATTTTGGTTTACAGTGAATTTCTGTTTGACCAAAGGGTCTCTGCTGGCAGGAAAATGACATAAACAAACGCACTGTGTTAGAAATGTTCATGATGAATTTAAATTATTTTTGTGTGGGATGTTTGTTGTTTGTTTTGTTTTTCACATTTTATCAAAAAAGTCTATGTCCAGAATGATTATTTCAGTTCCACTCTCCACCGGGATTTTAGACCACTTCTCTTTTGTGATGCTCTCCAGGCCTTTAAGATTGGAAAGCTTCCTTTGCCATCAGTTTAATTTTTATTTACTTAAGTACCACCTATTCACATCACTCTTAAGTTCCCTCCATGAATTCTCAAAGGGATTCAGGCCTGGACTCTGGCTGGGCCATTCCAACATGTTGATGTTGTTTTCTCTTCACCACCTCTTTGGCTGCATGTTTCAGATTGTCTTGCTGGAAATGTCAGCACTGCCCAGGGTTTTCTGCCGTCTGACTGAAGTTCTCCTCCACATTCATAATGTCCTTCTCATTGCTCAGGATTCTTTTGCTTTGAGAAGGTTTGTTTACTTTGACAAGGTTGTCTGGCACATTAACTGAAAATCACAATTAAAGCACTACATCCTCACTGCTATGCTTGACCATAAGGATGGAGTTGTTTTGGTTCAAATGCTGTCTTCCATCATCCAAAGGCCACATCCCTGGGCCCAAAGACATGGCATGATGTCATGGTGAAGTAGGGTCCTCCTTGGTCAATCTCTGTTGGAATGTCTTATTGGGATGTTGTTACCAGAACTACCCAGATTCTTGGGATCGTCTTGGTGGCTCTTCTTGGATTCTTCTTGGCCTCTTGCACTACCATTCTTGTTGGCACTGGAGTCACTTTTGACTTTCTGCCCCATCCTTTGAGATTTTTCACTGTGTGGAACACTGTGTTCTTTTTGACGATGCTTTACACTGTGGCCACTGACACTTGAAAACACTTGGATATGACTTTATGGACGTAGCCATGATGGGCACATTTCTGTAAGTGGTAGACCCTTATTATATATATGTATATGTGTCCACAGGATCTATTTCTCTCTTCCCATTCATTGTGTAGTGAAACCCCAGTCGTGTTCTGGAGCGTTACGGCGAGTTTTAGGTGACAGGGCGTAGCTCATTTGCATAAAGTAGACTTGGCTTTAACTTGATGCAAATTTGGCAAATTTTTGCAAAATCGTCCCTGTGGACACGTAGCATTAGGCCTTGATAAGAAAAAACCATTCCGCCTAACAAGCCAAGCAATGTGGTCTCATTTTCCATCACTGTTCATCAAAATTTCTCGTGCCCTGACGTCACTCAGTGCATCCTGTGCATCTTCCTTGCGGCTGATAAACGAACTGTAGGTGCATTATCGCCACCTACTGGCTGGAGTGTGTTCATCAGTGTTGCCGGTGTACCAGAAATTAGTTAACAGAGAAAGATGCGATTTAACGTGTACGTTTTTTTAAACATGTTAATATGTTGAAGTCCCAGCCCTAATATATTTGTATGTTTATATATATATGGATGTATGTATGCTCACTTAGCTCTTTGGTTTTAGACTTGCTGTCGACGAGTACAACTGCATCAGGCGGTTGCTTATTGCGGAAACCAGAAGGGCTAGGTGTTTTTAGTTTCTGAAAAAGCATTGAAATAGTTACAAATTATGTTCAGCATCTCTATCACAATGTCTTACTGGCTTTTGTCACTTCTTTACAGCTAGAACATATCTATTAATCTAATAAAAACAATCACCATAAATCATAACTTGGTATATGTGAATACTTTTGGCTTAACTGTAGATACGACAGAGATGAGGCAGATGTGTATCAACAGCAGTACTTGACAGCAGCTTTAAATACCCTAATGTGACTGATGAGCTGAATGTGAAAATGTGTAAGATGATTAAGCAGAAGATGTGACATTCCATTTACAATAAGTGCATTGCAAATGCTTTATATACAAGTGACAAATGGATCCATGGTCTCTGCTGAAACAATATTCAGAAAGTTCAATCATTTCTAACTACAACTTAATTTTCCCTTAAAGAGCAAACCCTATTTATTACTAAAGCAGAAATTCAGGGAGACTTCTTCATGTGCTATGTGATTAATTTAGTTTGCAGAAATTATGTATGCAGATCCGGTAATATTTTGTTTTGGAAAGCAACATTGCAGCACTCTCCAAAATTAAACAAATTTAATCACTGTGTTCTGCATAAACTGAAGGTCGTAACATTTGTTTCAATGTCAATTGACATTTCTGCTCATTTTTTAATTTGCATGCTCTAAATGCACAGCTACAGTTTGAGCTGAGTGACACAATCATTTATTTGTAGAGTAGCAAATGTTGATTGA